CTTCCGATGGGCCACATCCTTATCCTTCCCATTACCCTGGCACAGACTGCACTCTCGGGCTGCTACCTTCTGCCTCTCTCCCTACCCTGGCTAAATCTCAATATGATCGAGGATCCCGATTCAACTAATGAATTTCTCCTGAGAGTTTAACACCAGAGTCAAATCTCGGTCATCTTTACCACTAGTCGCTCATTTACAATATATTTCTTTAATTCTTGGTTGTTCTTCTTCTTCTCCATCGTGATATCTTCGCGTATCACGCCAATAGGCAGTTTCCGAGTTGGACAGCGACCCTCGACATAATCCATGGAGCTTATCGTTTTGTTATTTATGCAAAAAAACACCATTGTTCGAAGCCCTTGCAAGTTTGAAGTTCTAGCGCATAGCTGACCCTGCTTATCAAGTAACAGCATCAATTTCTAAGGTTAAAAAAAGTTGTGTCAATAAGGAGAAATAAAGAGAAATTGGGAAGAAAATGGATTCCGGAGAGGCAGCGACTGCCTCTGATCCTTCTCTGCGTTTTGATAGCGGTAATCGCAATGGTAGTAAATTTTTTTGTGCAGCACGGCAACTTCTGTAAGAACGACAACCGCTAATAATTTATGCGCTTCCCAGTTACAGCAACAACGGACCCATCCGCATCCTCCCTTTTATCTCCAAACACAAACACAACCACAACCGCGACCAACTCCGCTATCACAACCACAACCACAACCAATACAACTACAACAACAACAACACCACCAATTACAGCACCACCTACACCGTCTAAACATAACAATTTCCATGCACACCGGCAAAACCACAGCTCTTCGAAACTACCTGCTTTTCGCTTTGCCGATCTAAAAAGAGAGCATATTACCATACCTTCGCTACTGCAATCTCACCACATTCCGCCTTCGCCTGTTTCGCCTGTCTCGCCCGATCCCGATCAGCACACCGAAACACAGCCAAACGCGGCGCAGAAAATATCCCCGCAGACAGCGCATCAGCAGCATAACAATAGAAATAATACTAGACCTGTCTCACCCGAACAATTGCCTGCAGAAAACCTAAGTCCCTCAAGGTCTCGGGCATCCACGTTCCAATCCCCCGCCGCCCAATCGACCGCCAAATCGACATCATCCATCAATGCAAAGCGCTCTGCTTCTCTAGATTCAACTACTGCTACTAATAAGCGCACGCGCAATACTACCAGCGCGACGTCGCCTACAGATCCTGCGGGTACGGTTGTTATTGTACAATCGCGACACAGACGCGCGCCTTTTTCAGGCAGTTCGGTAAACGAAACTTCGCCTAAGCATCGAATACATGCGTCCGACGAAAGTCAAAGTCAAAGTGCACCAAAAACAGAAGAGATAAGTAAAGAGATCGCGCACGGGCAACGTGAACTCATTTTGCCAAAAACCATTCAGAAGACTGCGATCGATGATAGGAGAAACTCTGTGGCGAGACGACCACCGGTATCCTATAAACCACCCGCAAATTCTACCAGTTCGGGCGGTACAACATCAATTCCACCCATTCGATCATTCCGATCTTCCGGCGAACGACGGAGTCTTGTTCTCGACATGAATCTTCGTTCGATGCGTGGGTATGAGGGAAGCGAGGACTCTGGCGACTCAAATCACCGCGATAGGACTTTGCGTGCGCTAGAAGGAAGGCGTTTCGACGATGAATCGCAGATAACATCACTTGACTCCTCGGCAAGAGATCGCCCAGATGGCGATGACAGTGGCGATCTATTTCTCAAGATCGCACGCGAGGACCCGTCCCGCCGCGGCGCAGAGGCCAACCGGAACTATGGAGACAATCAAAGTGCCCTGGTAAGTCGACTATTTCTTTGCTCAAGCTTGTTTCAGATCATGCATCTATGTCAATGTGACCTCGCGACCATAGCGCCCGTCGAAGGTTTTAGTAGACTATACACCCGTATACACCCGCCCTATAGGAATCAATACCCTCTACACTTGATCATAATAGCCTTATATTCGATCGCCCGTTTCAACCTTAAACTAACGTCGGGGTATAGTCCCGAGTCGTACGAAGCAGCCGACGACCTCTTTCTGTAGGCGTATCTTCGTCATCCCATCCAGCTTCCCCTCCTCAAATGACTCGACGCTTGTCGGATCAAGAGACCTCTCGATCTCGAGGTTTTGGCGATGATCAATCGGGAGAGAAAATCGCGCGCACTCTAGTATTCAAAGGAGTACCTAGAGACAAACTACCTGAGGAAACAAAACCTAGAGGCGGCAGCGCCCTTCGGGGTTCGCCATTAACGCCTCGATCTCTAGCTTTTCAAGACTTTCCTTCTGACCAAGGATCTGCTTACAATCGAAAAAGACAAGCGTCTGTTGATAGTGGCACTGCTCTCCCGTCTCGCATGTCCTCACTCAAGCAGCCCAATGTCAACTATAGTCACCCTCGCACTTACAACTCTTCACCACTGGTGCCAAAACCAGCAGAATCCCAAAAACACGATGCCCAATTAGACGATGCAAATCATGGTGTTGAGGGGACCAACTCAACCGCTTCGACTGCCGCTCCCTCAACAGTATGGGACGAGCTCGATGACCTCAAGTCTCGTATTCACCGCCTTGAGTTAACTGGCAAGCTGCCTCCAACCTCGGGTGCAGCTATCTCACGAGCGTCTGAGGAACGACCCCCAACCGCCCACACTAACGCAACAACCTTATCTGCCTCTCCCAAGCGCGGTTCTGGGGGCGCCGCACAAACGTCCGAGGCAAATAATGCACAGAAGGAAGGCCATCCATTACTGCATTCGGCGTTAACTAAGTCCAAGGACTTTCTTAGTGTAGAAGTTTTTGAAGCGCTCGAAGCAGCAGCCAATGATGCATTGGCACTTTCAACAATGATGGGTACCGCTGGTCAACCAGGACCTATTGCGAGCGGCGCAAGTAGTATTGGCAGCGGTACCACTATTACTGACCGCCAACTAAGACGAAAAGCAGATAGTATCTGCCGTAGTCTCACTGAATTATGTCTCGCGTTAAGTGAGGGGGCGGCGCAGATGAAGCCACAGCAGCAAGTAGCTCCGCCGACTCCAGAGAATCCACTGCTAGCAAGTCCCACCATCACAAAGTTCCAAGGGATAGCCTCTCAAAGACGGCAAAGTGTTGCGGATCGCAACCTCTCGGTTAATACCAGCCCGAGAACTATGCCCCGCTTCGACGAGAGGCGAGCCATCGAGGAAAGACGAAATAGTACGCTGGGGTCTGCCTTTTTATCTCCACGGTATAATTCGGCAACTCCTGCGACCCCAACCGAGACTACGGTGAACGGTGCTGGTCGGAAGACTTCGCTATTGATATCTCGCAACCGCCGAGGTGGATCAGAAGAACCAGACGAAGCGCGCAGGACATCGCAATCGTCACTACTTAGAACACGACGTGCTACTACAGAAGAGCCTGAAGACTTGTCTGATCGCAAACCTACATTAACCCGGGGCCGTCGGGGGACAATAAATCGAGACGACGAGCAAAGCCAGTTCCGCGCACCATCTCGCGCCATTACCGAAGTTCATGGGCATCGATCCGGAACGCGCGAATACGCATCACAATCACAATTAACAGCACCGCCAAAGGAGCCCGAGCCTTTGGCGTCTTCGGCTCTACCTAAAAGGCGGCTAGCTTCCGCGCTCAGCAGCAGATTAGTGATCCCTGGATCGACGTCCGGCTTCGCTAGCACGGCTCGCCGGTATTTCGACCGATCGACGCCGGATCGTGAAACGTACAGCGTAGAAAAATCGGTTGAAGATCGACAGCAACGGCAATTTTCTATTAGTCGATCCGGAAATATGGACAAACGAACAAATCGTGGTAGTATGATTACCACGAGCTCTCCCGCGACGGGGGGCTACCGATAATGCCGTAACGACTTGATACGCTCATGACAAATGTAACAATAGACTGTCATCCGGGCTAGGGCGAATTTCCCCGCAAGCATGGGTTCTGCATAGCTAGATGTTTTTTTATTTTGTTTTTATTTTTTTTTTTTTTGGGAATCTTCTATTTCGTATAATACCCCCTTCGTCTCTGCGAAAAACTTACGAATTTTCTGAGCTGCCGTTGCCCGAAGACGAGCGACGGCAAGCGTTATTCCGTGTATATTAATCAACATTACTAGGGAACAAGACACCAAAAGGGTCGTGGAACACCATGGGCACGGATTGGCGAGGTGGCCTAGGAGAGGGCTCTTCGATGCCTCAATCTCGCGGTGAATAGGGAAAGCAACCAACTATACTACACGTAGAGCAGCTGCTCCAAGGGTCCTTTGTGTGGGAGGCTAGGTTACCGGAGGGGGCCGGACTTGGGGGAAGAAAAGGAGCCTTTATACCATTACAGGTGCTCGGGAGGCGAGCTGGGGACGGTAAACCGAATACCGATGTACTATGTAAATAAGGTCGGCAGAGGACCGGGGCGGATAATGTATGAATACTTAGTTTTTGCGATGAGCATATAAAAGTTTTACCTTCCTAACAGTCCTGAGTTGTGCTTTTCTTTTTGATGCTATAAGCCGAGTATTCGCTGACTCAGACCGGAGGGAGAGTGGATCTTTCTTTACCTCTTAGTTACTAGGTATTAAGTACTAACTTTTCAGTTAGCAGCCCAGCTTAGCGATGCAGCTTACCACCTAACAGACTTACCACTTAACAGACTTGCCACTCAACAGTCCCGTTACACTAACACTAGCAATTAACAAACAATCGTAACGCCAATTTCCGCCTTAGGTACTCGGTTGTGAAATAAATAAAGAGCCTCACTACCTATTCCTATATTCATTCACTTCGTAGACATCACTGCACTCTGGCTCTAACTGGCCTATACTTAGTTAAGCGGCTACGCTCCCGCTGCTACCCGGCATTGCGCATTCTCCAGGCTCGGCTTACACCAGTACCGCCGGCCGCGCATAGCTTCCATAATAAAAGCGCTTGCTATAGCAAACCAAGGGCCGCCAAGGGCGAAAGGAACTGGTCAGAAATGGAAGACGACGAGTTCGCCGATGCCGCAGAGCGAATGGAGGGCGTGGCTCTTAGGGGTAAAGGTAGAGGAGGACGGGATCGACGCGGAGGCGGTGGAAGAGGAGGTGCAAAGGGCCAGGGCCGCGAGATGTTGATTTCCAAGGCGCTGTCGTCGCTGCTCCGACATCAGGCTGAGAACGTGGGGATTAAGCTTGATGCTGAGGGGTATGCGCCGCTGGATAAAGTAGTGAGTTTTGCTTTTTCTTGCTTATAGTGCCCCTATATATATATATATATATTACTGGCCCAGGAGTAAAAGGGGGTTACGTATAATTCCATTCGAGTCTAACCGTCCAACCCGCTAACACGCCCAGATCCAATGGCCGCGCATCCGCTCGCTCAACCCGTCTTTCGACGAGATCCGCTCCTCGGTCGCGGACAACGCCAAGCAGCGCTTCGCCATGAAGCCCAAGGACCCATCTACGGATCCGGAGAGCGCGCCGGCCGACCCGGCCGCGTGGCTGATCCGCGCCAACCAGGGCCACAGCATCGCGCTCGAGGCCGAGGCCATCCATACGCCCGTAACCCTGGAAGACGCTAACGTGCCGCCGATCGTCGTCCACGGCACTTACTTCGCCTTCTGGCCCGCGATCGTGGCGTCCGGGGGGCTGAAGCGCATGGGCCGGCAGCACGTGCACTTCGGGACGGGGTTGCTGCCCGAGGACGGCGAGGCTGGCGGGGGTATTAGCAGGGGAGTGGTCAGCGGCATGCGGTCCGATGCGGAGCTGCTTGTGTTTGCGGACGTGCAGAAGAGCCTGAGAGAGGACAGCGGGATGAAGTGGTGGGTTAGCGCGAACGGGGTCGTGCTGACGGATGGGAACGAGGATGGTCTGGTGCCGCTGAAGTATATCAAGGAAGTTAGGGGGCGCAAGCAGGGTGTGGGCGTCTTGTGGCGCGATGGCGAGAAGGTGGCGGATTTGCCGCTGGATGTTGTTGCGAGGGCGCCTGTGGGCAAGGGGAGAGGGGGTGGGGGCGCGGGCGCGGGCGCGGGAAGGGGTGGGAGAGGAGGACGGAGAGGTGGAAGGGGGGGAGGTCAGGGGGAGGTAAAGTGAATGTTCGACAACGCAAAGAATATGAGCGCGTGAAAAGTATGTGTTACTCAGGTCAAGTACACGTAGAAATAATCATGATGCTAAGCCCTGGGATTTAATTCCTCCTTATTGTGACTCGGCTGTTACATTCACCGTATTGCTAACATCGATTCGTCGTCTCAAGTAAAAAAAGATATTAATGATATTACGATCGTATGTGTACTCATCATAATTGTCAAAGTAAAGCTAGCCACTACCTAACTTACGTCCGAGGCACGCGGTGGATAACCAAATACCTCCTCTAGTAACGAAAACCGAATAAAACGCCAGACCCCCCCCCCCCCCCCCCCAAATGCAGACCCTACTCTCCCCTCCCGTTCCGAGCTGCATTGCTATTCACAAAACAGCCAAGCCACAATGCCGAACGGCTGACTACCTCGTTCTGTTTAAGGCCTCGGATAGACCGTTGTGAAAGATACCTTCGCGGTCGTCTCCGTCTTTATAGTAGCGACGATGTTGCCCGTAGGCGGAGGCGGCGGGGGCGTAACGAGAACCGTGAGTAAATACGTGCTCACGGAGGGCGTGGTGACTACCTTAGTTACCGTCTTAGCCTTCCTCCTCTTCGTCTTCGTCACTGTGGCCTGGGTCCCCGGTGGGCAGGAGGGATTGTCGGTGTTGAATAGAGTGGTGGTGGCAGTGATGGTAGCGGTTGCGGTTGCAGTGCTCACGACCGTGGCGTTGTTCGTCGCCATAGCGGTGTCGGTGAGCGTGTTGTTCTGCACTACCGTGGACATCACCGTTGTGGTTACCGTTGCAGGCGGCGCTAGTAGGTTCGGGGGGATCATTTTTGGCGTGCTCGAGTTGGAGTAGGGGATGATGTCGGCGGTGTGGTCGAGACATCCTATAACGCCATTCGGGTCGACCCAAATTCCGTCGTCTATAATTAGGGGAGAGGTTAGAATGCCCGTGTTCATATTCGGACTGCTTTGGCATGATACGGGGGAAGAGGTAGTATAGACCGACTTACCGAACTCAAAAGACGCATCACGCGAGCGATCAGTGCTGGGTTGTTCGGGTTTGCACTGACAAGCTATAATAGGCTTGGACGTATCAGGGGTAATGTCGTGAGGTCCGATGTTCATGAGACCGCAGCTCCAGCACGTCTTGGAGAACCCCCCCAGGGGTGCCATATCCACGGTAGCTAGCTTGATATTCCCGTCTTTATTGACGAAGCACCTATATAAACGAAGAGGAAAAAGACCTCCGTTAGCGAAGTCTCTCCAAACTATGCCGGATTTATAGAGTATAAGCTTACTTATCCAAATCCAGGAGGCTCGTGTGGTACTCCAATGCGGAATTTACGGTAACACCACAGGTAGCGATGAGCTCCATGGTATAAACATCCATGCTGTTATGATAGTTCTGGCGGATGTAGTACCACGGGCAGATAGAGCTATCGAACATTTGCGGCTGAACGCTGGCGAGGGACAGGCCCTGCAGGCAAGAGAAAACACCGAGGGTGAGGCATTTGGGGATCTTCATCGTACTATCTGCCAAGTTACGTCTCTGGGAAGGTAGGTATCGTGATCCTAGGGGGGTTGTGAATACGGATGATCCGGCTTTAATAGTATAGTGCCTGCGGCGGTGGCAGTAGAGATGGGAGGATAGGAGTAGAAGATTGATGATGTGATGAGAGCTTCGCTCGAGTTGGGAAAAGGGGATTAAATATATAAGTTCTCTTGTATTTAGTTAGACAATGGTTCATAGATACCACTCACTCACATCACTAAACAAGTGACGAACTAGGTTAAAGGGGTCAATGTATTCACATATACGCAATGTTGTGTAAGTCAGAAATTCTAGAATTGTAGAAGCTCATGACGGGGTAGGGCATCATTTATTTATCCTTAAAGGAGAGTCTGAACTAACCTAGCTAGTCATGCCGAATCGTCTTGGCCCAAGAGTCGTAACACACAGCCCATAGTTCTACTCCAATGTGTAGCCAGAAGAAGCTGAATTTATTGTAGCTAGGTACATTCGTGATCCCTCTATGAGATGTATGTTCTTCAACACTCTAGTCCTGACGCCGGTCACACTATGCAGTCACATTAGCAACCAAGTTCGCCAGATTCGCACCTAACTAGGCCGGAACCTGCGGTTCTGTATCTCTAACTGGCAACGAACCTGTTTTGGGTTGCCCATCTGCCTTCCCAGATTGTGCAGCTAGCTTGCGTAGAGGCTCAAGCAACTCCTCTGCGATCTTCTCCTTAACTGCCTTTTTGCCGTAGATATCCTTTACGTGACCGATGTCTGGGGGCAGTTTTGGAGCTAGAGTCCCTAGCTCTGGGAGGCCGCTATAGAAACCGGCCATCTTGCCCTCTGTGACTTTAAAGTGAGGAAAGCCAGAGTACCCGAGTCGAGTGCAAAGCCGCTCGACTTCGAAAACAGCCGAGACCTCGTCACCGTTGAAAGTGGAGGCAATTCCCTTGGGTAAAAGGCTCTCCGGGTCTTTGTTTGACCGAGGGCTAGGAGTAGAAGCCTCGGGATTCTCAGGTGAAGATGGCATAATTTTCTGCTTCTTCCTAGCTGGTGAAGGTTGTGGTGTAGCTGGTTGTTTTTGGACTGGAGGGGATTTTACGCCGTCGACGTTAAGTCGATGCATATACCCGTTTACGCCGAGCCACTCAACAGCACATTTTGCTGCATACTTTTTGGCGTCCTTCTTGCGTACGAAAGACGGCAGCGTTCCGTCTGGGAACGAGCCACCATCAGGTCCGGGAAAGGGTTCCGAGTGCTCATCGATGCGCACTTGACAATACCACCTCTGAACCCCATATATAGTTGGGCCTGGTTTCTCACTAAAGTCACCTCCGGGAACGGAAGTGGGTATTCGTTGACGGGCAGCTCGGTATTCTATAATGACATTAGTATTATAAGTAACTTGACGGGGCTGAACTATGAAAATGAAAATGAAAATGAAAATGAAAATGAAATATACCTAATAGGAGACCGACCCAATTAGCATCTCCAAGCTCCGGTTCGGGTTGAAGTGGTGTAGCAGGAGGTAGCGCAATCTGAAGCTTCTCAAGTAGCTTCCGTTGGGTGTCTGTCAGCGGTGCGGGAGAACCGTGTGTGGCCTCGTACTCCAGCTGTTGAGTGATCCAGCTTTGGATGGACCGGTATGTCTCTGATAGCGCCATAGCTTTGCGTGCTACCGTAGATATATGATATATGCATAGAAACCAAAAAAATGTGGGTGAAATATACAGCAAAGTATGAGCTACGAAGAATAGAAGGAGGCAGCGTTTGAAAATACAACAAGATACATGCCACTTTCGGTTTATGTCTTTATGATTGGCGGGGTCGATACTGCCATTAATGGAGGGGGCTTATTTGGGATATTATACGACATACTGAAGTATACTGAATATTATATTATTATGCGCTACATGTATTTATCGTTTGAATGGAGGTAGGTAATCTTATCTAATCCGAATTGCTATCCTTTAACCTAGCGTCTACTTTGTACATAGGTACATAGCTGGTAGGTAATACCTTAGTGGACCCTCCGCGCCACCTTTCTAAAGGCAGCTTCACCACCGACTGGAATACCCTTTCATACACAAAGGTTGGACATCGCAAATATGAGTAAACCAGGGCTATCATTTGGCTTAAACCTCGCTAAGAAGCCTGGCGCTTCGAAACCTGCTCTCCCGAAAAGGAAACCAATGTTTGGCGATGATGATGGATCAGACGACGATGCGAACGGTTCAGCCGATGGTCCTCAAGCTACCGAGATATCAGAGCTAGACGACTTTACAACAGTATCATCTGGCCATCAATCAAATAAGAAGCCCCCTCCAAAGTTGAAAAATGGTCTACCTACCAAATCTTTGAACGGCAAGAGCAAAAAACCCCAAATTTCCATGTTTGGAGATCTGTCGAGCTCCTTAGAGTCGCGTAAACACCAACAAGCCGCTGAGGAGTTGGATCCATCGATATACGATTACGATGCGGTCTACGATTCCCTAAAGCCGGAGAAGAAGGCTACAGAAGAAGATATTGAGCGCAAGCCCAAGTACATGAAGAACTTGATGGCATCTGCCGCCGTACGGAAACGCGACGCCCTAATTGCCGAAGAGAAGAAGATCGCACGAGAACGGGCGGAAGAGGGCGAAGAGTACGCGGACAAGGAGAAGTTTGTCACGGAAGCATACAAGAAACAACAAGAGGAGAACAGGCGCATCGAGGAAGAGGAGCGCAGGCGCGAGGAGGAGGAAGCTAAGAAAAATAAAGGTGGTGGCATGACTGCATTCTACAAGGATCTACTAGAAAGGGGCGATAAACGACACGCTGAAGTTATCAAGGCGGCGGAAGAGCGCGCAAAGACCGGGCCAAAAGAGGACAAAGACGTGTCAGAAGAGAAAGTCAAGACGGACGCAGATGTGGCAAGAGAAATCAACGAGAAAGGCGGTAAAATTGCTATCAACGAAGATGGCCAAGTGGTGGATAAACGCGAGCTGTTGAAGGGAGGTCTCAATCTGGGCGCACCAAAGCGACAAGATCCCCGAAAAGAGACGGGCAAGGGCTTAGATCGCAGGGACGACCGGGGCCAATCTCGCAACTTTGTCGGTTCTGGCGGCAAGCAAGCGATGCGCGAAAGGCAATCTCGCATGCTCGAGGCGCAATTGGAACAATCTCTTAAGAGATCTCTAGCCGAGGAGGAAGAGGAGAGGCAAAAGGTCGAACGCGCGTCCAAGAGCCGCAAGACAGAGACCGACGTCTCGAGCGCGCGCGAGAGATATCTGGCACGTAAGAGAGAGGCCGAAGAAGCCAAGAAGAAAGCTGCCGCAGAAACGTCGTGAGCAGAGTGCCCGTGTCCACATTATCCTATTCGAAATGGGATATCCTCCGTCATGATATAGTGGCCTTGATAATATTGTACATTCTATGCATCCGCTGTCCCGACCCTACCGTGAGAATGCCCCTCCATTTCCTCCCATTGCCGGCTGCGGTTCGCAACATGGCGGATTCTAATGTACATCGAGTAGGGGCGAGTTGACATGTGCGATGCAGCCTTCAGACCGGACGTCTAGCTCACTGCTCCCGCCGCAGTCGGTCGATGTATGTCGAGCTTACTGAGTTCCACGCCGACATGTACTTCTCCATGCACTGGGTGAAGCAGGTCGACTCGCTGCTCGAAATCGAGGGGCCCGGCTTGGGCACGCACCTCTCGAAGCAGTGCTCGTTGATCTTCTGCACGGTGGCATATCGGGTTTTAGTTCACTTCCATCTCAGACGGGGTTTCGGGATTGGCATATGTGGTGTGGATGGGCGAGTATTTCTAATGTCCAATACGTACCTCGATTAGTAGTCTTGCGTTTTCTAAGGCGTATTGCGTCTTGACTTGCTTGATGACCTCGGCCTTGATAGATTCGGAGGAGTCCATGGCGGCTATGTATTCTTTGATTATGTAGCCTAAGTATATTATACGGACGCGGTTGTGGCCGGTGGCGAGTCCCGGATTATCTTGGTGGGATTAAAGCTTCTCAAAAAAGTTGAAGCTTCGTTGATTATTTTGCACGGTACACTAGGTATTGAAGTAGGTAACTGCAGGTGTGCTAAAGGTCTTGGCATAGGTATTCGTAGTGGTGGGCAATTGATTGTGGCTTAGGTCCTTATCTTTAAGCACTTATGACGTATATAGACGTGGCTTCGCTATTTGAATACCTCCAGTACATAGGTATATACCGCCAACGCCAACGAAAGAGGTTCCTTCACCTCTTAGCTTGGTGGGGCTCTACTGGCAGTAAATCCGTATTGGTTAGATTTAATTGGCTACTTTTTGGATAGCGGTCCTTATGTACGTACAGGGTCCTTGTTTGGCTTATTCACAGCTGTAACAGTGTTGTAATTATCTCGTACCTGACTCAGAATTGCCAAATAGAAGTTGTATAAAATACTTACCTAGGTAGGTAGGCACGTAGAGTTATTATAAAGACAGAAAGACAATTCAATCAATTGATTGACTCTAAACTTTCCCAAAAATGAATGAGTTGCACCTTGCATTAGGTACGGATAGCTGTTGCTACATAATATTGATAAGCACCTAGGTTACCTTGTCTAGGACGTACCTGCCAGACAGGGATTTAACCACAGTAATTTTGGGGGGTTAATTATGGATCTTATGGATCTCAATGGTTGCTGCGTCAACAAGCGGATATTTGCTAATAACAATGCCAGCATTTATTTCTCCAATTATCAACCCCGTTTCCTATTTCTTGAAAGTCATCCGATTGACAAGCGAATAGCCTCATACATCCCTAAACCTTTTGATTCAATGATAGAGCGGCCTACTAAGCTGGAAACCATGGCAGCTCGAACACTGGAGTCCCAATTTGGGCGTTTATCCGTCAATGACGAGAATGATTATCAAAAACCCAAGGTTTGTCCCATCACCGCTATATTCCCTAGGTGTGTAAACTAGACAACTAACTTGTGATTGTGATCGTGTGTATAGACTATTGGGAGTACAACACAAGTAGCACATAGCTCAAGCCGTCCAAACCTCTTTAAGGTCGCTCTTCAAGCGCAGAGCGCAAATACCGTTACCACGGTCACTCTCCCATCACAGGCTGCACAACGTAATAAAGCTGCACCACCTCCCTCGCCTACTAGAAAACCACTTCCCACTGCCAGTACAGTATCAAAGACATCGTCCGATGAAAAGGAACTGGTTGAGCGGAAGTCGCCGTCTCTTATTGATCAGCCATTTCTGCCAAAAGAGTTCCACCTTGGCATGTTTGAGATTGGGAAGCCATTAGGGAAAGGTAAATTTGGAAGAGTTTATCTAGCACGAGAGCGGACGAGCGGCTATATCTGTGCCTTGAAAGTCCTCCACAAGAAAGAGCTAGAGCAGGGTCGGGTTGAGAAGCAGGTGCGGCGAGAAATCGAGATCCAGAGCAACTTGAGGCACCCCAACATCCTACAGCTATTTGGCCACTTTCACGATAGCAAGCGGGTCTTCTTGATTCTGGAGTTTGCGGGTAAGGGCGAGCTGTATAAGCACCTTAGGAGGGAGCAGCGATTCCCCGAGTGGAAGGCTTCTCAGTACATCGCCCAGATGGCGAGCGCCCTCAGATACCTGCACCGCAAGCATGTCATCCATCGGGACATCAAGCCGGAGAACATTCTTATGGGGATTCACGGCGAGATTAAGATCTCCGATTTTGGCTGGAGCGTACACGCACCAAATAGTCGTCGCCAGACCATGTGTGGTACTCTTGATTACCTCCCGCCCGAGATGATCAAGCCTGGCAGCTCGGACAACTACTACGACGAGAAGGTGGACCTATGGAGTTTAGGTGTGTTGACATACGAGTTTCTGGTGGGAGAAGCACCGTTCGAGGACACACCAGTCATGACGCAGAGGAGAATTGCGAAGGCAGACATGACTATCCCCTCGTTTGTTAGTCCCGAGGCAAGGGACCTTATTAAAAAGGTGAGTGTTACCTAAACACAAACTCCTCAAACGCACAAACATTTCCACTAACACAGGAATACAGCTACTGGTTCTTGACCCTCAGAAAAGGATACCGTTGGAACAGGTCCAGACGCATCCATGGATTGTCAAGCACTGCATCAGGGGAGAGCGCGCCTCAAACAGGGAAAAGAAGGATCGTTCTAGCGAAAAATGACGAATTAATGGAATGAATTCACATGTATACCTATTTAGGCAAGGCGAGGCGTTTAGGCGATGGATTAATCGGGTTGGGGAATTTGCATGTTTAGGGGAGTCGGGAACTATTGCGTACCATTATTTGAAGTTACAGACGCAGATCTTGTTCGCCGCCTGGCTATACTCCCGACGGGAGGGTAATTATAGTACAGGTGATAAATACAGCGTTTGCTTGAAAGCGAGCTTTTCGATTGGTTTCGCTCATCTGTAAACCTCGTCGAAGGGCCGGGTGTCCGAGAAACATGAGTCCCATACTTGGTTCACCACTTTGACTGCTTGTACATCGTCTTTACATCGCGGCCGAGCTAATACGGATTGTGCTGCCCGCTTCCTCACACAGTCTTGGAACTGCTGCGTTAACTTCCAGTTCCCTCTCGTCCAGGCCTCTCTAGCCCATCTACACTCGCCGCTCAGCATTGCTGCTCGGATCTAAAGTACAATGTCAGTAAAACTCGCGTGTTTTCATACCAAACACGGAAAGGAAAGGGAAAGGGAAAGAGAAGCACTATACCTCTGTACAAGCCGAATGCTTCAAGTCCTTATCGCCCTTCCAGTCGACCTTCCACCTCAAATGGTCCCAAGCATGCACCATCTCATGAGCCAGGGTATCTTCCAAGTGGCCACGATTCCGGACCTCATTGGCACATATCAAAATGCCATGGTCGGGGCTAAACCCGCCCGAAGACCGATGGACCTGGCCGTCGTCTGTGAGGCGGGCGGGACAGCGGCGGCACACGACGTTGTCCTTGTCGAGACGTCCGTTCAGAGCCTCGACCTTCTCGCGCATGAAGCGCACGGTCGGCGATTGCGCAAAGGCCCAGTCGCGGAACTCCTCGCACCGCTTGCAGTCGCGCTCCTCGTGCACCCGGTACCGCCACTCGCGGTAGTGGAACATGCCTTCGTCGGTCACGCCGCCCGTCAGGATCTTGAAGTAGTTGACCCACCATGCCGTCTGCGGGTCGAAGCCGGTTCGTGCTGGGTCGTTCTCGACGTTGCGCGGGAGCGCGCCTGAGGACGCGGGTGGGGAGGGGGACGGAGGGGGGTTTGAGGGTTCGGACGGTTGCGGTTGTGACGGCATTGTGGAATGGATTTGCTGCTGCCGTTGGAAGTTCAGACAAGGTGTGTGTGAACTTTGTTGGAATGGCGGCTGTCGATTTCCAGGTCCGGGTAGGTAGCAGCTACCTTAACTCGCGATCTTTTTGCGGTCCGTTGGATCTAGCGCGGAATAACGGAATAGATAGGTACCAGGTAGGTACTTTTACATAGATACCTTTTTAGAATTTCCGATCTCGGCTGGGGGTTCCACCGAAGTGTAAGCGGAAAGGACCTCTCAGCTTGTGGTTGCCGTCCAATGATTACAGTTATTACATAGCAAAACCCGTAAATCGTATAATTCCCCACAAGAATTATTCCCTGTAAGTCGTCAACACGCCCTTGACAGCCATGGCAGATCCAGGGGGGCCAACGCCTTGTAAGTCATGCTTTTTATTTTTTATTTGTTAAGAAAGGATATTGGTTGTTCAACGACCTGTTGTTTCCCCAAGTCTCATGTTTCGAAGCTGCCATCACTAATGTGCTATTAGATATGAAGGGCCCTAAGCCACTTATAGTGGTTATCAAACTTGGTGAGTCAAAGCCGTCAAAGTCTTGGGGTTCAGTTCTTATTCCCCGAACAATGACTTTATGTAACAATGCATAAGCGGATAGGTCGATATTGAACTAACTTACACGTAGGAACCAGTTCCATCGTTGATGAGAAGACACACGAACCTCTGTTGTCGATTTTGACTCTTATTGTCGAGACAGCTGTGAAGCTCCGGAAAGATGGCCATAAGGTCATCATCGTGTCCTCTGGTGCTATTGGCGTCGGTCTTCAGCGGATGGACATCGACAAGAGACCAAAGCACCTAACTAAGCTACGAGCACTCGCAGCTATTGGCCAATGTCGCTTGATGAGTCTATGGGATAGTCTATTCGGACATCTACGTCAGCCTATCTCTCAGATTCTCTTGACGAGAAATGATATTGCTGATGTAAGTAAAGAAGACTTGCGGTCAAGGAAAGTGTTCCAACTAATAGTACTCTCCAGCGGACAAAGTATCTAAACGCCCAGAATACTATCATGGAGCTCTTAGAGATGGGTGTTATACCCATTGTAAATGAGAACGACACTTTAGCAGTTTCTGAGATCAAGTTTGGCGACAATGACACGTTATCAGCCATCACTGCAGCTATGGTACACGCCAACTTCCTCTTTCTAATGACGGATGTCGACTGCTTGTACGACAAGAATCCACGGACAAATCCCGATGCTAAACCCATAGAGGTGGTGGAAGATATTGGGGAAATCCGCGCGGATGGTAAGGCTATAATCATGTAGAACATTGGTGAATCTTATTATTAATGCGATCTCAGTATCTAGTGCTGGATCTTCCCTGGGAACCGGTGGTATGAGCACAAAGATCGTTGCTGCTAGGCTCGCAACGTCTGCTGGCGTCACTACAGTCATCACTCGATCATCCTCGCCGGGAAACATTGTTAAAATTGTTCGTTATTTACAAGCTAGCAAGAAATGCACATCGTCTGTACATACGCCCGTGGTAGATGACGATGCCGAAGATCCTCTATCAAGGTCTACAGCATCTCTAGCCCTCAACTCACTAGAGAAACCACCGTTGCACACGCGATTTATCCCACTCTCTCAGCCGATCAGAGATCGCTACTTCTGGATCCTTCACGGCCTAGCACCGCATGGCACGATTTACATCGATATTGGCGCTCACCGCGCCCTTTCAGACAAAGCCGGCCTTCTCCCGGTGGGCGTTTTAGACGTAGAGGGAAACTTTGCGCAGCATGAAGCCGTTCGCATCGTGGTCGTAGAGAGGCGATCAGAACCGGGACTAGACGGCAAAATCTGGGAGGGTCCGGGGGTCGAGATCGGGAGAGCACTGGTTAACTATGCGGCGCCCGAGATCGCCCGAATTAAGGGGCACCGAAGCACGCAGATCGAGACCCTGCTAGGCTACGCTGACAGCGAGTACATAGCCGATCGAGACAGCATCAGTTTGCTCCTCAGAGAGAGTCGGCCAGTAACACCCGTGCTTGACAAAGTGAACGAGAGCGTAGGGGTGGCCGCTTACGAAAACGACATTAGCTTATAGAAGCTGGCTACTTCGCATAGACCGACGGCGCAGGGAGATAAGGAGTTACACGGTCACAAAAAAGAAATTTTAATAAGGGATAGATCATCGGCCGCCGCAAGAACTTTTTTATATTGTCTCGTAGAAAAGACCAAAGTCACATAGAGAGTTACTTGTAGACAGCCGCAAACGCCCCTGAATGCACAAAGCTCAAGCCAATTCCGAACTCCAGGCCATCTTCTAGTGCCAAAAGCCACCGATCGTCCTTTTTTCTTTCTCTCTCCTCGTATATACATACATCCGTCACCCTACCTAGTTTTTGCCTGCTCAGCTCGCAAATAGGGTGTCTTCGTCTCGGAGATACTCGCCACAGTCGGCCTGCCTGAAACATACGATGCCGGTTGGGTCGAGGCGTCGGGCCTCGGCGGTGCTACGGGCAGTGACACCGAAGCCGAGGGGCGTGTCGGACATATTGTAGACGACGATACCTTGGTGGCTAGGGCAGTCGTCAGACCAGCGGCCGACGTGGGCCTTGACGACATTGCCACCGTAAAGGAAGGGCATCTCGCCATTGGGCTTGATCCACAGCTTGTACCGCGCATGCTCGGCTAGGATAGGCAGCGCTGTTATGTGTAACCTGAACTTTCCGGTCTTGCTGAACTTGCCTGTTCGTGACGATTTCTTGTTAGCGAGCTATACTTGACTAGGTTTGTGTCGTATGGAAAGAGGTAAGTTTATAAGTAAACATTGTTGGCATACCTAAGCAGATACCCAGTGACCCAAGGTGATCCCTTGATATCGATGTAGCTAAGTTGGCGACGGAGAGTAGGACATAGTATACTCTGTCGCGATTCAGACGAAAGACATAGCGATCGGCGTCGGGCGAGTCGTCGAGCGGCGCAATTAGATTCTTTAGCGAGTTTCCTGTATAGTTGGCTAGCTTCTCGAAAAGCGTTTTCGTTTCTTGCTCTGTAAGCTGTCGCATCTTGACGGTATTTTATGTATGCGCCAAGTAAATTGGATAATGCTATACACAAGAGAGCGCGGGGCGTACTTCAGAATTGTAGACATAGGAAAATATTCTGCCGCTTGGAAATTTTGGCGGTGAAAGACTATAGATACCGCGGAAATATTCCTATTGGTGTACCTGCGTAAATAGTGGGCCCGATAGACAGGGGTCCGCTGCGAATCTTTGAATTTTTGAGTTTCTGCATCGCATCTCACAAGTTGCGAACATCTTACTTCAACATTTTTCAATATTTCACATTTCACATTTCACAATGACATCTAGACCTGTAAAGAAAAGGAAGCTTACTCCGCCCGGAGATGATGAGCGTTCGTCTCGGAAGTCTGGTGCAAAGATCCAGAAAGCATTCTTAACAAATGCATCAAATTGGGACCTGGAGCAAGACTATGAAACTAAAGCAAGGAAAGGGAAGAAAAAGGAGAAAGAGAATACTCGACTTCCTCTAAAACTACCAGGTGGGCGCGTGCAGCATATGTCAGCGCCAGAAAGTAATTTCCAAACCATTGAAAGCGACGAGGATTGGTTAGATGGTGCCGAGGATGTGTCTGAGGACGAAGAAGCTAAGGAGAGAAAGGCCCCCGAAGAGCCTCAAATACCCGAGCATCAACAAATCTTAGAAGCTAAAGAAGAGCTGGCTAAGATAGCTCTGATTCTCAACGAGACTCCTGATGAAAATACTGGCGCCTTCAAGGCCCTAGCCAAGATTGGACAGTCCAGAATTCCAACGATACAGAAGCTTGCCTTGGCCACACAGCTCACAGTATATAAGGATGTTATCCCTGGTTATCGAATACGACCCGTGGCCGAGGATGGGCCAGAGGAGAAGCTTTCAAAGGACGTGAGGAAGTTGCGGACCTACGAGACATGTCTCATCTCGGGCTATCAGGCATATGTAAAGGAACTCACCAAACATGCGAAGACCAGCCATGCACAAGGCGTTGCGAGTGTCGCTATCACTTGTGCTTGCAATCTGTTAACCGCCGTGCCCCATTTCAACTTCCGTTCCGACTTAGTCAAGATACTAGTCGGGAAGCTGAGTACGAAGCGTGTCGATGACGACTTTAATAAGTGTCTTCAAGCACTTGAAACCCTATTCGAAGAAGATGAGGAGGGTCGTCCATCTATGGAAGCAGTCTCGCTTCTCTCCAAGATGATGAAAGCCAAGGACTACCAAGTGAATGAGAATGTTGTTAACCTATTCCTCCACCTACATCTATTATCAGATTTTTCAGGAAAGGGGTCGAAAGACTCGGTGGAACGTATGGACGACGGCCCTACAAGCAAAACCCCGAAGTCGAAGTGGGCATTCCGGACCAAGCGGGAGCGAAAACGCGTGAAGGAACAGAAATCGCTGCAAAAGGATATGGCCACAGCCGACGCACTCGTTCAGCACGAAGAACGGGATCGCATGGAGGGAGAAACTTTAAAACTCGTATTTGGTACATACTTCCGGATCCTTAAGATGCGAGTGCCACATCTCATGGGCGCCGTCCTAGAAGGTCTATCTAAATACGCGCACTTAATCAACCAAAATTTCTTCGGTGACCTCCTCGAGGCGCTGAAGGACCTTATCCGACACAGCAACGCGTCTGAGGAAGATGACACGGAAGACAAAGAGGGTGACGAGGCAGAAGACGACGACACGCCCATACGCAACCCCTCCCGCGAAGCTCTCCTCTGCACTACGACGGCATTCGCATTACTTGCGGGCCAGGATGCACATAACGCTCGCGCGGACCTACATCTCGACCTCTCTTTCTTCACAACACACCTCTACCAGACCCTCTACCCCCTAAGCCTACACCCCGACCTCGAGCTAGGCGCGCGATCCCTCCATCTCCCCGACCCAGACAAGCCGTCCCAGGCTCGCGACAAGAGCCGGAAATCCGACAACAAAGTCAACCTGCAGACGACCACCGTCCTACTAATCCGCTGTTTAACAGCCGTCCTCCTGCCCCACTGGAACCTGCGCTCGGTCCCTCCCGTCCGCCTAGCAGCTTTCGCAAAGCAGCTCGCGACAGCCGCCCTGCACGTGCCGGAGAAGTCGGCGCAGGCTTTACTCGCGCTTCTCGCCGATGTGGCGGGGACGCATGGCCGCCGCATAGCTGCGCTGTGGAACACGGAGGAGCGCAAGGGCGACGGTGCGTTCAACCCGCTGGCTGATAGTGCCGAGGCGAGCAATCCGTTTGCGGCGACGGTCTGGGAGGGGGAGATATTGCGTCGGCATTACTGTCCTGCTGTTAGACGGGGCGTGGGGATTGTGGAGAAGAGTTTGAGTATGGCGGAGAAGTAGGGTGGGTTGTTAGAGGATGAGGGTTAATACATACCACATACCTTGTACGAAGTGAAGTCGAGCCTCTAATGCCGTCTATGAATCTCGTTTTTATTGCATATATACCTACGGATGTATATCTTGGCCTCTTAAACGTGGATATCGGAGGTAACAACATTACTCATGTGGCACGGCTTCAATATTCTCGTTTTACGTTTTACCTACCTACCTACCTAGGTAGTTAGCGTGAAATCTGCCACTTAGGAGTATGAGAATTATGGATGATAAGATCGATTGATTCCGTCGATGAGGCTTACAGTTTACTTTGAACACTCATGTTAGGAGGTTGCTGTTGCTCATAGTCTTCGTTATTACCCTCGCCATGTCGTTCTACCTATTAGCTTAAAGTGCCAATTCTTGTAATTTCACTGTTGGAAATAAGTTGGCATCGTGGCTCATAACATATTATTATTAACTCTCTGGGTACAAGGCCGTCGAGCTAAGGCGTGATATAATAGACGTAGACATCTCTAAGTCCAGTGTGTGCTCCCAAGCCCCTGATTAGTACCACACATAAATACGAACAACACAAGCGACTTGCTAAACTACACGAGTTCATGATCTGCGTAACAACGTAAAAATAAGAAAACAACACGGCTAGCTTCGACTGGAGAGCTACCTATTACCAACTTGGTAGAAGATATGTTGAGTCGAGTCAATAGAAAAGAAACTGATATTCCATGATCGTATGCTCGCCTTTGCAGAAAGGGGTTCCGGGTTTGAGTGATGTGTCGGGAAGGTTGCTGGGGTTGGCCTGTGGTCGTTCGTTCGTCATTGCTTTGGGGTCTCGCAGTAGCGGTTAATAAAACATTAATATCTGAGTAGGTAGTCGAGGGTGTTGGTCGCAAGTTCAAATACATAAAATTACATGTCGTCGTTATCATTAAGCCCTCATAGTCGATGTTCTGAATTAATCCGAAAAGAAGCTTTCACATACGCGTAAAGATGAACAGAAGTACGGAATACTCGAGGTATTATAGCTGGAAGCCCTAAATAAAATGAGGCTGGTGATAACATAGGTACAACCACAATAGAGACCTGAGGTTCGGTCTAGTGACTCTCTTAGTTGACTTTATGAGGCCCAGCGAGAGTCTGCGAGACCGGGTCCTTTGGAGATACCACTGATCACAGTTTGGCCGGTTGGAACGGAAGGACCACGTTTTTCCTGAGTTGGCGGATCAACACGCATGGGCTCTCCCCAGAAGTGCTCAGGAAAATGTTTCTCGGGATAACGATTAGGATTGTCGGGATTCCATCGTGAAGCTTTGAGGCCTACTTTGACTTTGCTGCTTGTTTCCACGCCACCCATGGCCACATCATCATCTTGGCGAGCCTCGTTCCTAGTAGTGAATTGCATCACGTCTTGGCTAATCGGCTCACCCCCTTCATCAAGGATCGATATCTCGGATTGTATAGAATCCGAGTAATGGTGCCAAGGGGCTCGCTGAGAGACTAAGGTAGAGGCATCGGAGCTGTATGCTAAAGTAGGGTCCACCAAATTATTATTGGATTGAGTCGGATAAGCAAGTTGCAGCTGATCGCGAGATGGAGTCGATGCTTTAGCAGTCTGGAAATGACCATCTACACCCTGTGGGCCAAAATTTTGTCCACAAAACTGCGGTGGAGGAGGGCTGTTGGCTGTTGGCATTTGCAGTTGAGCCGAACCCCCCGTAGGTCCGCCCTTAAGACGCTTCGATGCAATATTTCCCTCTTCATTAGAGGACGCAAGGCGTTTTTGCCATGTCTCTTGCGGAGCAGGAATCGTAAGAGCTACATTCTGCGAGACGGAGGGACCTTGTAGAGGGAGTATACCCTCAGTGAGAATAGCTTGTGGCTCTATAGTGCCGAGGGACATAGACATGTCATGAGGACGAGATGTTGGGGTAATACCTTCCTGAGTTGATCGTACAGGGTGATGCTGCATCACATTTCCTCGAGGGTGAATTATTAAACTTGAGCCCAGTTGAGCACGTCCCTGTACACTACTGCCTTGACCATATTGGTTATGCTGCTGGCGATGGTTCACTAAGGCACCTCCCTGTCGTGTGTTGATTCCATTTCTCCTATCCTGGTTTCGTTTATTGCGCCGAGGTGATTTTGCGCGTGTGAAAGAAGCCTGTAGCTGTTTCGCGTCCTCTATATTCCCACGTCCAAACATCTTGATGGTAGGTAGAATTCGTCTCTTCTTTGGGCTCTTTTGTAATCACAAACAAAAAGTCCAAGTAACTCGGTCAAATTGTAGGAACTAGGTTATGACAGCCTCAGAGAGTTGTTAAGAAGTAGAAGTGTGCAAGGGGTAAAATACAGAATGGTGGGTTTGGGGGGATTGACTTGCTCAACAACAGAGAGTTGCTAAGGTCGGTAGAAGAAGATAAGGACGGGAAAGTCAAAACAAAACCTCGTAAGGTGTTTAAGGACTTGTAAAAACATGGGGTTGGATGTGTGCAGGCAGAGGATAATGTAAAGGTAGTTCTTGCCTCATGCACCTCTAGGTACCTACCTATAGGTAATCGAACCTGTACATGAATGCCGTCGCCTCGGAAACAATAGGAAAGATAGCCATATGGTTCCTTCCTTAGATGCATTCAACTATTTAAATCCCTAGGTTACTTAGGTACCTAGGCAGGAACCTTAAGATTTCACTTGCTCCTCCCCTTTAAGGCAATCTACCTATGTTTTTAATAGTATCGTACATTTGTATCTACTAGTTCCCTTTCTGTTGTCACTACTACATGTTTATTTAAAACGCGATTAGCTCTGAATGCATCAGTAGGATACGCATATAGCAACGTACTCTGGTTCAGACTTGTGTTTGCAGATGCAGGCACCCACGCAGGTGCAAACGAAATCGACTAGACAAAGGCTGTCTGGACGAGCAGAAAGGTATGGTTTGATAGAAACGGATATCTATATCATTAGGGTCTTGTAAATCTGGTATGGCATACGGGGACATAATCACTTTGATTTCCATATCTTACCCAGGCAAGGAACTCTATATCCAAAGTAAGACGTTCTCTAGACGGGTACATTTAGCTGTTGAACGTGGCCAGCGTCTAGTAAAAGATAGGACTCTTGTTTAAATATATGTATATCTAAATAATATCATTACTCAGGCAGTCTACGGTTATGCTGCTTCTTAGTACCAACGAACGTCTCAATCGTGTTAATATTAGTTGGCTTGTATTCCGCTTTCTTCGCCTCTTCCATCCACTGTATATCAATGTTAGGAACATGCTTGGCTATGAATTCAATCAATGCCTTAGAATCAGGGGCACCTTCGCGGATTCCAATGCAGGAAACACGGGGTATACCCAGCGACTCAGATAGACGATCCTCACATGACTTTGATAATCCTACTAGCCTGGTAGACATCTGTTCAGGATGTGATTTTGAAGCAATCGCTACCATTTGCGGGAGATGTCCATTAAGAACGTTTGGTTGTCCAGACCGGGCTACGAAGATGGCTGAATAGGGGTGGTGAGAAATATCCTGAGTAGGGAGTTTGTCGTCCGAATTGGCCTCCACAGCTTGTGCTTTAGATGCCAACTCCTGTAGATGACGCGTGACAGTTGTAAGTCCGACGTCTACATACGACTTTAACCCCGGAGAAGGAGGAGGCGAGCCGTTTTTAGAATGTGTAGTTGAAACTTTGCGTTTCCGTTTCTTATCGCGTTTGCCTTTCGACAACTCAACATACTCTGAGCGGTACTGACCCAGAGGTGTAAGCAAGCTACTCTAATATGTTAGCATGGGGGACATAGAGATGACTCTTCTAGATTCTTGGACTGAGAGAATGGACTGAGAGAATGGACTGAGAGAAGGGTCTGAGGGACTCTTGACTCACTTGCATAGAAGTTCTAAGATGGTTTCTTGGTCGTCGATAGCCACGCTAGGCCTGGCATCGTTAGCATTGGTGTGTTAAACAACATGTTGGGGTGGAAAAGCCGGAGGCTTGTGTTTCCTACCATGATACAGCTGAATAAGGCGTGTCTAGCTGATAGACGATTTTCTTTCTCCTTTCCATCTTTACATATAGTCTGAATCAACGTAAAAAGTGTTCAATTCATTTCCGATCCATACTGTTCTGCTGTTGTGCGAAGTATATTCGTACTGTTTTAGAAACTGAAATAAGTTTCTTACTATGTAGGTTAGTGGAATCGCGTTGCACCTATTGAACCTAATATGGGTTTGTTGGTCTGTGCACGAGTCTAAGCTCTTAAAATAATATCAAATAGACAAATTTTTAGCTGTAAGTCGTCGTCGTCGTCGTAGAAAATTGCATGCTTATTTTTACTCTACAGGTTATACATTTAGTATGATATTTAGTATGATATATTTCTCTATCTTACTAGTCGTTATTAGTAAAAATCCAATATTGATTATCGATGGACTTTCTGCCATAGTCCTTTGATAGTATCCATATCTGCTTTCACAGTATCACTATCCTCATGCTCATCTAAAACTTCTATCTTGGACCTCAACCGCGCTACCATCAAGTCCAGGGCTATCTTCGGAGACACCAATGATAGCTCTTCGCTTAGTTTGGCTTGACTGATTATCTTGCCGTCGCATAACTCTCTTACAAGGTTTTCTGCCATGTCCTGACAATTGCTTGTTAAGAGGTTGTATCGTGGGTGAACCGACATGTGATCAGCTCCTAGAGCTCGATATTAGCAAAAGAATTAGGCGCCTTCGTCTCAGCGCCTACTTACCTATTCTTTGTATTTCTTCATGAGATTTCGTCGTCTCTCCGATATAATAACATGAGCTCCATGTTTGGATGAATTCTGGGGTAATCTCGGCTACTCGAAAGTAGCTTTTACCAATAGCATTAAGTGCCATCTGATCACTCATCAAGTCGTAACAGTAAGAAGGGTTAAAGCCGCGATCAATCACGCATAATGCCCAGTGGCTGACACTATTTTGGCTCATGCCGACATGTTTAGCAAGCAACTTGTACGTATTTTTGGACAATTCAAATCTGCCGAACTCGATAAGTGTGGTGATTAAAAAAACGGCCCTACGAGACGCGATCAGATTCCACTGCAACGGCGGCATCCCGATAGCTGAGTCCCTAGTAATCTTCGCCAAAACCAGGTTGAGGAACTCGCTCTTTTCCCGCCGACGCCGTTCTTTTTCGGCTTTGACTACATCCTCCTCTATCTCCGAAGAACTTTGCGATTTTCTGTGTTCCCTGTTAAGGAAACCGTGTGTTAGACGCCCGAATATTGGAAATAGTAAGGACCTTTGAATAAGCGGCGTTTAAGGGATGGAGGGGAAATATGGAAAAGTTACCATTTCTCTTTAAGATACTCTTCCGTGGCTACTCGAGCACTTTTTAGCCTTGATAGGGCATCGAATCCCATTTCTAATGTTCAGGACTTGGGTATGCAGATATCCTTAGGCACCATTATTTGCCTAGGTAAGATAAGTAAGTAGGTATGTATTTCAATATTTCCATATGTGTTTTAAATACCTGCAACCAAGTCCCTCACAGCCCACCTGTTCCGCTTTTGTTGTGCATAGGGGGTACACTACATGTAATACGGTTAACTCGGCCAGCTAAGATAGTAAACCCATTGGCCCTGCTTGCAGCTATATTATGCACACTCACCGTGTGCCTTGCGTTAGGTAGTTTGATGTCGGTTAAATATTAGAATATGCTATCCCATCAAAATGCGTATGCGCCCTTCAACATTACAAGCTTATGAAGACTTTAGGCTACTATATAGTGTAGGAACAGCCGAGGAACTCTAAATCATTTAAGCTGGGGATGATTAAATGCATTGTATACATTCAGGTACCTACATGTATGTAGTATGCATGTAAGTACTTTAGCTAGATACCTAAGGTACCTATGTAGGCAAAAGATATATATTTGCGACCATGTTCAAGCATCTTTCGTATTGATTTTAATACCATCTAAAACAGTGAAAAGAAGGATATAGCTTTTTATAAGTCAGAAAAACAATCCCCAAAAGCAAAGACATCTGGGTGATTTCACTTGATACACTTACGTGCGTGCACATGTGTAGGTACATATCAATATTTGCCTAAAAAGCAGGCATTTCTAGAACTTTAACTAGGTACCTACCTAGGTACCTAACCTAAGGTATTACATCCATGGTATTTAAGTGGAGGACGTCGCCTACATACCTATGTAGGTTACATGTAATTGCTTGCCCTAGCAGCCTGGCAACACAACAGACCAGAACCTCGGTATCTAGCCTGGCCCTGCAGCCTAGACCCGCTAAAGTAAGTTGACTTTCCCTACCGACATATATGTCCCAATGTACAATTTGTTACGATTAGCTTGGAAAATAATTACATCGTATTCCGTTGTGCATACGTCTTCCAATCTTGCATCATATCCGGATATTGGACGCCCTACCCATAGCTGGTCGCAGGCCTCCCGGACGTTTGTTACCTATTGTTGAGAGATTAGAAGTTGCGTACCTAAGGTAGTATAAAGCACTTATCTCAACATTTCGTACTTACCTAATTCACACTGATACGTTAATACTTCTATTGTAGCACAGCGTACGTACATCTTTTTGCACATCTTCCCCACTTCAAGGATACACTAGCGTCGCCTAATAATTCTGGCACTTTTCATTAATCATCCAACAGCTATTGTGATATACCCAGGTATTCTTTCGAGACAAAACCATCCCAAGGCAATCTTCAACTCACAGCCTTGCCCGATTATTTACACTATTCACTTGGTTCAGTGTCACATCCCGTCTCTTCATTGAGAACTCTGATCATTCAATCAGGTACATCGAGGGGGCTCTTGTTCGCGTTCGTATTGCATACCTACATCTATTCATCGAACCTGCCCAGGCAGTCATCTATATGATTAGAGCTTCCAACGGTGATTAAAGCATTACAACACTCCTCGAGCTGGTCCCTGTTTTTCTCATGTGAGGTAAGTGGCTAACCCGCCTTGCGTCACATTTCAAGCTTCGTCATTGGAAATTTTCGATTTTGGAAATCTTCGAGAGAGATCGCGCGATGCACAATAGAGATTGGCCGCCGGGGAAAGATGGACAAAGAACCCCTACCTCCCACCTGCCTAGGATTAGCAATTTCTTAGCTAGTCCCAGGTAATGCTGCTACTGTAGCGGGTAGCTGAGCTCTTGTTTCCCACTTTGCCAGGGCTGCCTTCCTAACCAAGTTCTCCACATGCCCCTCCCCCACCATTAGCTTCCCTCACACTCGCACCGCTGACGCCAGAGTCCCAAAGAAAAGTCCCCGTCACTAACAAAGTAACTGGAGCTTCTCCAACGTCTATCGTCTATCTTCTATCTTCTATCGTCACAAACTATTACAGGTGCCTATCTGTTTTATTCCCCGGCCGCTTCTTGACACTAAGAGAATTCTCATTATCGTTCTTGCAGTTTACGAGAATCATTTTCCCTTCTTTCAACACTTTGATGATACCCCTTATAGACCTTTGATTGTCTTTTATTCTTTTCTTTCTTCCCTTACTGTCTATTCTATTGTGTTTATTTTCCCAGTGTTTTACCCCGCCTATCTTTCCTCAACCCACATGCTAATTCTGGAGTCCAGCAGCAGCCGCCGAGCCTTCTCGCGCGAACGCCTTAAGCTTTGTCTGGAGCTCCACGATTTCCACCATTCCCGACCCTGTCAGCAAGGTACAGATGGATCAGGATTCGAGATCATCCGAGCCGCGAGAACGAGCCGTCTCCTCTGAGCCCTGCTCAACTCGACCTAACCCTTTTGACGACGGTGATTCTTCTTCCCGAAAACGTCGTAGGACCTCCCTTTCTGGTTCTAGGAGCTCGTCAGTCGAAACCATTCCATCCCCAGACGACGAAAGAACCCCTTCCGACTCTAACATCATGAGGGTCGACTCGCCAGAGCAACTTCCCCCGAGTACGCCGGCTCGTTCAGAGCCTGCTGCCGAACCTGTTTCTAGTAAGGTCACTATCAACCTTAGGAATGCTGACAGCCTTGAGAATACGCCTTCCTCCCCTCCATCTCCCACACCTGCGCAATTCCGCAAAGATAGTATAAAAGTTAGCGTCGAAGAACCGGAGGTGAATATGATACAGGTACCTTCGGCCGAAGATGCATCGTCACCAACGTCCGAGCTTGATAGTCCAGAAGCACCAATCGAGGATGACCTCTCGCTCTACGATGTGGAACCCAACATAACGCTTCTGCCAGTCGAAAGAGTCACAAAATTTAGTGCTGTCATGCTTGATTTTCCATATCATACTGATGGGGAGTCATATCACGAGACGGTTGTTCGTCTCGCAGATTATTTTCGACAACGTGCGTCGAGATTTCCCAATTTCCGTCAATGCTCTAACTTTAAACTAGAATCCTCGCATGTAGACGATGCCCTACACGAACTAAATAATTGGCTAAATTCATACCTATCATGCGCACACATCGAATTCTACCCTATGGTCGTAGAGGCGTACCAGGAAAATAGACAGTTTTGGCAGGCTCTTCCTGAGCTTTTTTGTTCTATAGGCCATCGGTATGCATAATCCAAGCGTGCTACTAATATAACCTTGACTAACGATGCTCCCTCTTTAGGCACGGCTCGTCGAAATCCAGTCACACTCGGGAGATCGTCAGTCAGATGTTTATGCAGATTGCTAGACTAACCGGATTCCTTCTCCTAGTTGACTGCCGAACACTACTGCAAGTCATAAAGAAGGAGAGTAGCGACTTTGACTTGATATCTCCAAGCTTCCTTCGGTTATTTGGCAGCCTTGCGGGTAAGGAAGAAAGCCATACCGTTATTAACGGATACATCCCTGCGAACCATCCGGGAATCTTAGAGCCTCTTGACGTACTTCAAGCAAGTATTGATGGCCTGCAGGTTCAATTGAGCCGTTTTACTGAATTAATTACGACTAACCTCACGCGGTGTCCTAAGAAAGTAATGGATAATCTTACCGGAATCACTTCCCTCACGGACAGCCTTGTGCGTGATAGCTATCGAAAGCTGTCACCTCCCAACTTTTATTCTCCATCAGTACTTGACCGCTCAAGGAGAAACATGATCTTCGGTCTCAAATTTTTCGCGACGGTCTCGGAGGCTATGGACGTCGTGATCGAGAAGTCTACCAACAATCTGGGTTCTGGAACGGCTATGGATCTCATTAGTTGTCTCACCTCAATTTTTAAATTTAGCTTGTTCGGTGACACTATCGAAACCGCCGAAATACTCGGGGACCACCGAAAAACGCATCCTGATCTTCAAGACAGATTCAGACAAGAGGCTCTCTCATTAGAATGGAAAATGCGCATATGCTGCAAGCTGGTGAGATCACGTCAGATGCAACTTAGAGTCGCAGCAACATCGCACCTATGCGAAGATCTCGTTGTGCAATGGAGGACGTATATGGAACGTCAGGAATTAGGAGATGATATTCCCTACTTGGCCTACCTTCGATATTTATCTAGTTATCTGGTTAAAACTGGGATCGTCGACTATCTTCTTGGACCAACGTGTCACCCAGAGATTACCCAAACAAGCTTTAACATTGTTGGGTTCCTAGCCGTCACTAAAACTTACACTGCCACGCAGACAGAATTACTTTGGCAAACTTTGACATCAACCCAGGATCCCCGAATCTCTGATGCCATAGTTCGCATGATGTCTAAGGTAGTTGGTCTCCTCGAGCCGGAAAGTCTCAGCTATATGTGTGAGAAATTCTATAGTCTACCGATAGAGTCTTTCTCTTCTTGCATGCGTGATCTTTTCGACCAGGTTACAAAGCAAATGCAGGAGAAGATACTGCCTTACCAATTGGTCCCTCTTTCGCCTTACAAAATATGTGTTCGGTTACTTCAAGAGTCGTCTATCCTTGGACCCCAAGGCTCCGTATTATACCCAGAAATACACCACTTTGCTTTGTCGAAGTTCAGTGCTCTTTTACACTCAGGCCCCGACCCGGCAGGACGTGAAAACATATGGATGAGTTGTGTGCATGATATTGCGGCCAAATCTCGAAGCACGTCGGGGAGTCTCCATGTACTAAGTACACTTTTGGGTAATTCCCCGGCACTGCAGATGTTGATATCTGATCACGACCTGACGCGGCTTCTGGTTGACGAACTAGAATCTACAATTGCTAATGCGAAAGACCTTGGATTTTCTCCGGTTTATGCAAATCCAATAGGCCATGCTCGTCGAAGGATTATTTCCGCCATTATTATCAACCATGGTTCCACCATCGATTCGGAGCTCGGCCGGCGCCTCTGGGATCTTTTGGTCGGGAATGGCGCAGCATGTCAGGACGATAGAAAAGCTGCCTGGGACGACTTAAATGCGGCACTCAAGAGAACACGCATAGATAACCCTTTTCTCAATGCTTGCTTGCGAGAGTATTTACCTCAACTACCACCTAGCTGTTACTGCGGGGGCTCTCTCGCGTTCGTTAGAGAAGCTATTATTCCTCTTGCAAACGATGTCAATGGTATGGTCCTTGATGACGAAGACAGTGTTAAGTCTTCTGGGCTCGAACTACTTTGGCAGATGATATTGACGGCTCCATGTCACACCATTGAAGAAACGGCCATTTCTACGCTAGTTGATGATATCTATGTCGACAGCAAGATAATTTTATCGTATCCACTTCACCGCGCAAGGAGGGTTCATTTTGCCCTAGTGCAAAGGTGCCTACAGCAGCTCAAATGTGCAGCCCAAAGGTTAAAGGAATTTAGCGATGGCGACTCGAATGGAGATAGCGAGCTCACGGCGATCGTACCGTCTAAAGAACAACATAAGGAACATGAGTTACAATTCACAAGATCCCTGCAGGTTCTTATAGCGCTTCTGAAGGCGCTACAAACCAGGCCCCATTTTGCGGCGCCAGATTTGCGGTCTCTCATGCTGCAGGCTCCTAGCCCGGTCGATGGCGAATCTGCAGACTTGAAGTATCAATCATTTGATGGTAATGATCAAACAGATATA